CTGCCCCCAGGCACTTCACAACATGCCTTGCTAACTCTTCTCCCAAACATCTCTCTTTCCTCCTGACAAGAGATGGCTGAGAAGGGAATCTGTGCCAGATGGGCCTCTTTCTCCTGCTCCTGCCTCTCTCCCGGGGCTATTTGGGATCTTTATCAATGATCTGGATAATGGAACCCAGGGTGTGTGGACTGCATTTGCAAATGGGACCAAATTGGGAGGGAGAGTGAATACCCAAGAGGACAGGATCAGAATCCTAAAGGGCTTTTGCAATCAGATTGCTGACTGGTCGAAACTAACACAATGAACTTCGACAGGGAGAAATGCACGGTTCAACACTTGCTATCTCATCACACTAGAGAATGAATCCACTTTAAATCCAGTTGCTGCCTCCTGCAGAAATCTGGGGTTTGTGATTTAGGGAGGAGTCTTTAACAGGCTCACTATTAATTATTTATTTATTTACAACATGTATATGCTGCCCTTCTCACCCCGAAGGGGACTCAGAGCTGTTTATATATATATACACATACATACATACATACATACACATACACATACACACACACATACATACACACACACAATATATTATATTATTAGCATAGTACAATATCAGTATTATATATTACTATATTGTACTATACCATTATTATTTTTTATTATTATTAATTATTAACTTTATTTGTACCTCGCTACCATCTCCCCAAGAGACTCGGTGAGGCTTACATGAGGCCAAGCCCAAACACAACAATACAAGCAACAAAACAACAATACAAGCAATTAAAAACATAGACAATAAAATAAACATTATCAAAAAAACAACACATAATTAAAAACAGAGGGGAGGCCAAATGTAAACTTAAAATTGGGAGATATGCTGGGACATGAACGGAAGATGATACTGTTTATGGAAGGGCATACGAGCAGACTTAAAAAATGTAAAGTGCTTTGGAGGACAAAGTGCTATGGGAACATTATTCCGGTAAGGCACACTGGAACAGCCACGTCTTCAAGTTCCTCCTGAAGACTGCCAAGGTTGGAGCCTGTCTGATGTCTTTAGGGAGTGAGTTCCAAAGTCGAGGGGCCACCACCGAAAAGGCCCTCTCTCTCGTCCCCACCAATCGCGCCTGCGATGCTGGTGGGATCGAGAGCAGGGCCTCCCCGGATGAACGAAGAGATCGTGTGGGTTTGTATACAGAGATGTGGTCACGCAGGTATTGTAAGATTATTAGTAATATTACATGTAATATAAAATATATACTTATAATATCATATTATTAGTAGTAGTATTATTATATTGTATTACATTATAATTATAAAATATTTATAAATTATAAAAATATAAAATAAAATCACTAAAGTACAAACCCCAGAATTCTGCAAGAGGTAGGAACCAGATTTAAAGTGGATTCATTCTCTAGTGTGGTGAGGTCCATGGGCAACAAAATAGAAATACATAGGTATAAGATGGGAGACACCTGGTTTGAAAATATGTGAAAGGGATCTAGGAGTCTTAATGGACCACAAGCTGAATATGAGCTAATAGTGCAGTGCAGCAGCTAAAAGGTCCAATGCCATTCTAGGCTGCATCAAGGAGAATATAGTGTCCAGATTGATGGGAATAATAGTCCCACTCGCTTCTACTTTTGCCAGGCCTTATTTGGAATAATGGCCCAGTTTCCAGTTCTGGGCCGAGCAATTCAAGATATGGACAAGACAGAATGTGTCCAGAGGAGGGCAATCAAAATGGTCAAGTGTTTGGAACTCAGCCCTCTAAGAAACAGCGTAAGGAGCTGGGGATGTTAGTTTTGGAGGAGAGAAGGGGATAGAGGAGCCAGGTTTAAGTACTGGAAAGGATTCCATATTGAGAAGGGGGCAAGCTTTATTTTCCTGTTGCTGCTGCAGAGACTTGGGCACCATGCAGCCACAGAGTCAAATTGCAGGAAAAGGGATTCCACCTGAACATGTCCCTTCTAGCTCTGTAATGCCATGAACCTATGGCTCTCTCTGAGCATGTGCCACAGCCAATGTCTCCCGTTCTAGCCAGTGTCTACTGAAGGCTGTGAATTACTGTGGGACTCCCACTTTTGGCTGCTTGCATTTCGTGTGCCGGCAGTGCTTTGCAAGCTTAACTGGGCCAAGCCAAAGTCTCAGTGCTATGGAGACCGGGTCTCTCTCTCTCTCTCTCTCTCTCTCTTGTACACACCAGCAATAAACAAACACCAGGCAGCCCTTGGAGACCAAGTGCCACGCAAAAGGAATTTCAGAGCCGGCCAACACAAAAGCCGCAAGGCTGGACCGGCTCAAGATGTCCTAGCCTCCCCTTCGGCCTCAGGCCCTTGGAAACAAGGCTGATACCAGAAAGAAACTTTCTAAGATGTATAAAGCATAGAGTCATAGGGTCTGGAAGGGGCGACCAGAGCCATCTAGTCCAACCCCCTTGTGCCATACTACAAAAGCACAATCACAGCAAGGAATGAACACCAGAAAGAGACTCTCTAAGGCAGCTGGAAATGTGAGCACAATGTTGGGATATGTCACCATAGGAGGACGGTCCTGCAAAAAGGCCCAGAGATACTGGATTCAAATACATATAATGCTGGGATCCCTTCTACCGTGACTACTTGAAAGTCATGCCATAAATGTCACCATTGAGCTGTATCATGGGATCCAGAGTGATATATAGTTTGAGGGATTTTGGAGGGGAAAGAGATGCAAAGGATGGGGATCGAAGCCAGTTCCCAGGAAAAGGCATGAGATCAATGAAACATAATGTAGTGAACCAATGAACACACAGGTAACCTGACATTAGCCAACTGATAACCTACTGTGTCCTAGTTCAAAAATGTAAGTCTTTTAAAAATCTTGTAGCTGTGATCAGTCTCTCAGTCCTGACCAAACAATGTAGTTTGCGTTTGCTCCTTGTGTCAGTAACTCAAGCCACCTTGAGTCACCTTTGGGCTGAGAAAGGGGGCATAGAAATACAGTAAATAAATAAATACTGCTGACCAGTGGGACTTTGATTTGGACAAACATTTAGGCACTGAGAATTCTAAGAATTGATTACAAGAATCTTTACTAGTATACAGCTTTGCTGAAGTCAGGATAATCGAAATAATAAGTGGGATTAGCAGTAGTTTTGAACCGGAGGTAGGTATTGTTGTATCTATCACCATCACCATAACCTCTCTACTAATATTTGAACTTGGAATTCTCAGTGGGTAATCAAGGAAGCAGCTTTTAACTGAAGGCAGGCACTTTATGGACACTGAAATATGGGTCCAAATTCCCGTTCAGCTCTGGAAACCCACTGGGTGATTTTGGGCAAGCCACCTCATTACTGTATTATCAGCATATTAATTTATATCCTGCTTTTATCTCTTGACTGGGACACAAAGTGTGATATCACGCACACTCTCAGCTTGAGTGAAAGGCAAGGGCACAAACCTCTTTTTAATGCTGCCCAAAATCCCTGCAATCGGTTTGCCTTAGGGCTGCCATGGGTTCGAGGTGACTTAAAGCCACTCATGAGAATTATTGTGTTGGACATAGGAAGTTGCCCCACACCGAATGAGATATTGAGTCCATCTATCCTAGAACTGTCTCCATTGGGGAGGCCAGAAGATATTCAGAAGATAAGGTTCTCAAAGTCTAGGAGATTTATTTGAGAAAATGATCGCAATGCAACAGACGTTCTTAGTTCTGGGGAGTGAAAAACTGCACAATACATGGCGAGGTAAAACAATTCAAATATTCTGTGGGCTTTCCCCAGCAAATAATGGCTCATTAATCCAAAACATTTCAGAAACCAATTCATCCTTGGTCTCTCCCAAGAATGTCCCTGAAGCGATTTGCCAGTTACGACCCCTCTTTTGCAGCTGCAAGCCGTAAATCTATCAGGCAAAGATAAACACTTTTGAGAAAAAAATGCCACTCTCCAGCATGACAACACTTGTCATCCTGTGCACATAATCACTAGCCAAGGCTATCAATTACATACAACAAAAGGAGACTACATATGGCTGGATTTAGGCTCTAGCCAGGCCCATGGAACCAAAATTGATAACCATGGAATTCCTTCTTGTCAACACCAGCATCTCCACTGTGGAATGAATGCAGTTTAACACCACTTGAACTGCCATGGCTCAACGCTAGAATTATTCGAATTATTGGAGGCCCTACTCACGCTCCCACCTGCATCGCAAGCATGATTGGTGGGGACGAGAGAGAGGGCCTTATTGGTGGTGGCCCCTCGACTCTGGAACTCACTCCCTAAGGACATTAGGCATGCCCCATCTCTGGCAGTCTTCAGGAGGAGCTTGAAAACGTGGTTGTTCCAGTGTGCATTCCCAGAATAATGAACCCTTAGCATTATGTCCCCCCAAAAAGCACTTTATATCGATTTATGACTGCTTGTATGTCTCTATCAACACCCCACCTCCTCTGTCTTGTTCATGCCTAGCATTATTTTTTTAAACTTTAATTACATTTGGCCCAGCCATTGTTTTTAAATGTGCACTGTATTCTGTTTGATTTTTATGCTTTTAGTGTATGAGATTTATTTTAATTGCTTTGTACTGTATTTGTTACTACTTGTATTGCTTGTATTGTTGTATTGTGGGCTCGGCCTCATGTAAGCCGCACCGAGTCCCATGGGGAGATGGTAGCGGTGTATAAATAAAGTATTATTATTATTATTATTATTATTATTATTATTATTTATAGTCTTGCAAGACCTTAATCCAGTATGGGGAACTTTTGGTCCTCCCTCCAGCTGGTAAGGTGTTAGGAATTGTGGGAGCTGAAGTCCATAACATCTGGAGGGGGAGTCAAAGTTTGCCCATGCCTGGGGTAGATGCACCCTAAAACTGAAGCAGTGAGCTTGAAGAGAGTCCTGGCCTGGTCCCACAGAAAGATGGGTAGCTGTACTAGAAAAACACAAGGCAAAGGCATTCCTGGGGGCCAATCCCAGGTCACACTGTACAGGGAACGTGACTTACGGAGGGGAGGCCCAAAGAGGACGGTGTCCAAGGCCTTGAGTTGCAGCTTCTGTCGGTGGCTCCGGTCAGTCATCTTCAGGACAGCCCCAGTCATGGTGGCGTTGGTGATGGCCAATCTGCGAGAGAGGGAGCGAGATTGAGACAGAGGTCATTCTTCAATTGAGGGACATGAAAGACATTCAGGAAATGAAAAATGCAGCTTGGCCGGAAGCAGATCCCCCAGACAGGGCCAGCATACAGGATGCGGATGAACAAGTGTTTCCTTGTTATTCACAAGGACATTTGGACTAGAAGCCAAGGAGGGAGGCCACTATTTACATTTCAGAGAGAAAGCTCCTCTCCCTATTGGGACATCCTCTCTGTTGAAGAGAGTCCTCACAATCCAAGGAGGTGATTGCCACAGCCTACCAATGGCAAGTCTTACACTTCAGAGGCCTTTCCGGACCCAATCTGTGGCCAAAAGGATAAAGAGAGCCCACTGAGACAGAGGCTGCCCCACAGCTGGTTTCCTTTCCTCCCTCTGCTATGGGGAATGGCCATAGCTCCATGATGGAGGGCCCCTTTCAACCCTACATCAATCCTTATTATTATTATTATTATTATTATTATTATTATTATTATTATTACTGTTGTTGTTGTTTATTTATACCCCTCTTTTTCTCTCCACAAGGAGACTCAATGCGGCACTTCTTCAGAAAGGTTGTGTTGGTTCAAAGTACCTTGCATTCTACCAAAGCCCCTGGGGAGATGTATAATGACAAAGACATTTGAATATTTATGTATTTATTTATTTACTATATTTATATACCGCCCCTCTCAGCCCGCAGGCAACTCAGGGCGGTAAACAGAGGCAACAATTTAATGCCAACAACAGCATAATACATTTAAAAACATTAACAAATAATATAATACCTTAACAGGATCAAATTTAAAAATAAATCATAAATATCTCTTGGTTAAAAACGTTGTCCAAAATCATCATCCAATCATTCCATATTTCTATATTTGTTACACTGCATTGTCAAATGCTTGCTCAAACAGCCAAGGCTTAACTTTCCTCCGAAATGCTAAAAGGGAGGGGGCCGATCTAATGTCCTTAGGAAGGGCAGTCCATAGCCGAGAGGCCACCACTGAGAAGGCCCTGTCTTTTGTCCCCGCTAGACGAGTTTGTGACGCCAGCAGGAATGAGAGCAACGCCTCCCCAGACAATCTTAAAGTCCTAGCTGGTTCATAAGGGGAGAGGTGTTTGAACAGGTAAGTTGGACCAGAATAACAACAACAACAACAACCCAGTTCTTGTGGGTTTTTTCGGGCTATATGGCCATGTTCTAGAGGCATATAGCCCAAAAAAACCCCACAAGAACTGAGTGATTCCAGCCATGAAAGCCTTTGACAATACAACAACAACAACATTTGTTACCCGCCTCTCCTAACAGCTCAAGGCAGGATACAACAAGGTTAAAACACAGAAATAAAATAGAATATTATTAAAATGCATATATTAAAATAATATATAAACACACAAATAAAAAAAACCTTCAAAAGGAACTCAAATAAGTTTGCTATGAACATGGATTCCTACATAGCAGGATGGAGTAGGACTAGCTGTCCCTTGTACTCTTCTCCAACTGTTCACCAGTTGCTCTGTCAGGTTTGTGTGCATGAGTTTGCAGCCATGGCTTCCAGAAGAGAGAGGCTCAACTGCTGATCAGACAGGCAGCAGGGATTGCAACCACAGAGATTATCTTGAGACTTACTTACTTACTTAGGCGATCCCTCGTTGGACGAGTAAGATGGTCTTCCATTATGGATTTCCTTGTGGGTCCGTATGTGGCTGTGGAGCCCTATTCTTGCTCTGCATCTTCTTCCGCAGTGAGGGCATTGGTTTCCAGGTGGAAGGCGGTCCCGGTCGGGGTTGGCTTGACGCGCCTTCCTCCTGGCACGTTTCTCTCTTTCACCCTCCACTCGTGCCTCCTCAAATTCTGCAGCACTGCTGGTCACAGCTGTCCTCCAGCTGGAGCGCTCAAGGGCCAGGGCTTCCCAGTTCTCAGTGTCTATGCCAGAGTTTTTAAGGTTGGCTTTGAGCCCATCTTTAAATCTCTTTTCCTGTCCACCAACGTTCCGTTTTCCGTTCTTGAGTTCGGAGTAGAGCAACTGCTTTGGGAGACGGTGGTCAGGCATCCGGACAACGTGGCTGGTCCAGCGGAGTTGATGGCTGAGGACCATCGCTTCAATGCTGGTGGTCTTTGCTTCTTCCAGCACGCTGACGTTTGTCCGCTTGTCTCCCAAGAGATTTGCAGGATTTTCCGGAGGCAGCGCTGATGGAATCGTTCCAGGAGTTGCATGTGACGTCTGTAGACAGTCCACGTCTCACAGGCATAGAGCAGGGTTGGGAGGACAATAGCTTTATAGACAAGCACCTTGGTATCCCTACGGATGTCCCGGTCCTCAAACACTCTCTGCTTCATTCTGGAAAATGCTGCACTTGCAGAGCTCAGGCGGTGTTGTATTTCGGCGTCGATGTTGACTTTGGTGGAGAGGTGGCTGCCAAGGTAGCGGAAATGGTCCACATTTTCTAATGTTACACCATTAAGCTGTATCACTGGCATTGGAGAGGGGTTGGCTGGTGCCTGCTGGAAAAGCACCTTGGTTTTCTCAATGTTCAGTGACAGGCCGAGCTTCTCGTATGCTTCTGCGAAGGTGTTTAGAGTGGCTTGTAGATCTTCTTCTGAATGCGCACAGACGACGTTGTCATCAGCATACTGGAGTTCTATAACAGATGTTGTTGTAACCTTGGTTTTGGCTTTCAGTCTGCTGAGGTTGAATAGCTTGCCATCTGTCCGATAGATGATTTCCACTCTGGTGGGAAGCTTCCCATCAACAAGGTGAAGTATCATAGTGATGAAGATGGAGAATAGAGTTGGGGCAATAACACATCCCTGTTTGACACCTGATTCCACTTTAAATGGGTCACTTTGGGAGCCATTGCTGTCCAAGACTGTTGCCATCATGTCATCATGGAGGAGCCGCAGGATGTTCACAAATTTGCTTGGGCACCCGATTTTTTGGAGGATGGTCCAGAGAGCGCTGCGATTCACTGTGTCGAATGCCTTTGCAAGGTCGATGAATGCCATGTACAGAGGTTGATTTTGTTCCCTGCATTTTTCTTGGAGCTGTCGTGCAGTGAAGATCATGTCCACTGTTCCTCTGGAGGGGCGGAAGCCGTTCTGGGATTCTGGGAGGGTGTCTTCTGAGAGGGGCAGAAGGCGGTTTGCAAGGATTCTTGCGAGGATTTTCCCAGCGGAGGTTAGAAGGGAGATACCTCGATAGTTTCCGCAGTCTGTTCTTTCCCCTTTTTTGAAGAGGGTGATGATGGTGGCGTCCTTGAAATCTGCTGGGATTTTCTCGGTCACCCACACTTTTTCTATGAGCTGGTGGAGTTGGTGTGTCAGCTCAGGTCCTCCCTCTTTAAAGATTTCAACAGGGATCCCATCTGGTCCACTGGCTTTGTTATTCTTCTGTTGGCTGATGGCATTGCTGACTTCTTCCAAACTAGGCAGTGCTGCAAGCTCATCCCTGGTTTGTTGTTGTGGGATTTGTGAGAGGACCTCTTTGGCCACATTGGAGCTGCGGTTCAGGAGGCTTTGGTAGTGTTCTTTCCAACGTAGTGCAATTGAGTTTTGGTCCTTCAGGAGTTTGGTTCCATCTGATGAGCGTAGAGGCTGTATGCCATGGTTTCTTGGTCCAGATGACCTTTGTGGCTTTGAAAAATCCCTGAGCATTATGGGTATCTGCCAGGTGTTGGATTTCTTCGGCCTTCTTTGTCCACCAGATGTTCTTGAGTTCTTGTCCTTCTTTGGACCTCAGCTTTTGCACTGGCATAGATCTTTTTCTTAGCAGCACAGTTGATGTCTCTCTGCCATGCTTGGAAGGCTTTCCTTTTCTTGTCAATTAGCTGTTGGATCTCGATGTCATTTTCATCAAACCAGTCTTGATGTTTCTTGGCTTGGTATCCAATAGTTTCTTCGCAGGCTTGGATGATGGAGGTCTTCAGTTTGTTCCAATGTTCCTCAACATTTTCGGGGTGTATTGTGGGTAGATGGTTCTTGAGTGCTGTTTGGAGATGGGCTCGTCTGGAGGGCTCCTGAAGGGCTTGGGTGTTCATTTTGCGCCTTGTCTTCCTTCCTTGGAGTCTGCGCTTGGGAGCGATCTTGATAGCCATCGAGGATCGAATTAGCCTGTGATCAGTCCAGCAGTCGTCAGCACCTGTCATGGCTCTTGTGAGGAGCACATCACGGCGGTCTCTGGCGCGTGTGATTACATAGTCTAAGAGGTGCCAATGCTTTGACCGGGGGTGATTCCATGATGTCTTGAACTTGTTTTTCTGGCGGAAGAGCGTGTTGGTGATGACAAGGTTGTGCTCCGCACATTTGGTGAGAAGCAGGATGCCATTTGGTTTGCTGTTTCCAACCCCATCTTTTCCTGTAGTCCCTGGCCACAGGTTGAAGTCTCGCCCGACTCTTGCATTAAAATCCCCCAGGAGGATGATTTTGTCCTCCTTAGGTATCCCCGATAGGACGGTGTCCAGCTGACAGTAGAATTTCTCCTTGATGTCTTCATCAGCATCTAGTGTTGGTGCATAGGCACTTATGATGGTTGCCCGTTGGTTTTGGCAAGATCGATTCGGAGGGTTGAGAGTCGTTCGTTGATGCCAGTGGGTGCTTCGGACAGATGTTTCATCAGATCATTTCTGATGGCAAAGCCAACTCCGTGCATTCTTTGGTCTTTTTCGGGCAGTCCCTTCCAGAAGAAGGTGTAGCCTCCTTTTTCTTCCTTCAGCTGTCCCTCTCCTGCTCTCCGGGTCTCCTGAAGGGCTGCTATGTCGATGTTGAAGCGTCCCAGCTCCCTTGCAATGATGGCAGTTCTGCGTTCGGGGCGTTCACTGCCACTGTTGTCCATCAGAGTCCGTACGTTCCACGTACCGAAGTTCATTTTTCTTTTTTGGCCGCAGGGTGGTGACCCCACTGGACGCGGCAGTCCAGTCAGGGATAAGTGAGGCAGACTATGTTTAGGGCACCTTTTCTAGCCCCCTCCCCATGTGGGGTGAGCAGAGTGGGTCCTAAAAAGGGCTGCTCAGTCGCGGATACAGCTGCCGAACTACTCAACTGCCTCGGACCTTGAGGTAGGACGACTGAGTCCGTACCCACCGCCCATGTGCCAGTCTGTGACTAGGGGCTTCCAGATTTCACAGTCCTGCCCCCGTCGCCACTCGCTGATCGCCATGGGACTTTGGTTGGTTGGTTTTTATTTTCTTTGGAAGACGCCTGTGCGTGGGTTTTTTTAATGTGTGGAGGTCAGTGCACAACTGATCAACACACAGACTTCACAGAGTGAGGTTCCACTGGTGATGTAGTTTAACACAATGACCGTGGCTTCTCAGTCTGTTGCAGCCTTCTTCCGCCTTCGCAGCCGTTGTAACATGTGCCATGTTATCCTCCGCCTGCTCCGCCGTTGAGGTCTTTGGGTCTTCGGACTGTGCTTGGTCTGGAACCTCCCCCGTGGCCACTCCTGGGAGTGCACGACTCCAGTTGTTGTGCCTACAGGTTCATCGGAACGCGCAAGCCCCCTCACCACGACAAGGTGACAGTCCATCGAGGGGAACCCACCAATGAAAGTTGTGGAAGCAGCATCTAGTGTGTGTCTGTTCTAAAAACAGAAAATATCGACCGTGCGTGGGCCGCGGGTCTCCACTGAGAGTACTTTGACGCTATGGGACATCACTATAGATACTAAGATATGTGTGGCTTTTGAGTCATTTTGCGCACTAATATCCAGCCTGTTTTGGTTGTGGTCCTCATACTGTTTTCAAGGACTGACCATTGCCCCCCACTGACCTGGGCATGGCGTGGCCTGTGAGCTGCAGCCGTCGGAAGGTCTCTTCGTATTGAGGGAGCTCCACGTACGTGATCAGCCACTGAACCACCTCATCCACCGTCCAGTTGTACACTGTAAGAGGAGCAGAGAGCATTGTGAGCAGACCAGGCATGTCAAACCAAAGCAAGGGAAACTGGACAGTATTGTCAAAGGCTTTCATGGCTAGAATCACTGCGGTGTTGTGTGGTTTCCAGGCTGAATGGTTGTGTTCTAGCAGCATTTTCTCCTTATGTTTCACCTGCACCTGTGGCTGGCATCTGCAGAGGATCTGATGGTAGCGAAGCAAGTGGGTTTTGTTCGCTTTGAATTGTTTGCTGCCTGGAGACATCCTTTGCCTGGGTGGTGTTCACTAACACTTGATTGCTTACTGTCAGGCTACTTTCATAGAAGCATAGAAACAAAGAGTTGGAAGAGACCTCATGGGCCATCCTGTCCAACCCCCTGCCAAGAAGCAGGAATATTGCATTCAAATCACCCCTGACAGATGGCCATCCAGCCTCTGTTTAAAAGCTTCCAAAGAAGGAGCCTCCACCACACTCCAGGGCAGATGCCCTCACTAATTGACAATGCTATCTTCATGCTTACCCACATATTCATGGGTAGATCCCACTCAACACACACAAATCCAGCTTCCTAACTGCACCCTTTACACTTGTGTAATGGATAATGGTTCTTTTCTCCCACGCTGGACACCCCAAAAGTATATATTCTCCATTTGCTTGACTACTATCTGATCCTCTGAAGATGCCAGCCACAGATGCAGGTGAAACGTCAGGAGAAAATGCTCCTAGAACATGGCCATACAGCCCAGAAATCACACAACACCCTTATACACACCCCCTACATAGTTATTTGACTGGTGAAGGATTACAACATAGCCGTATAAAATCCTGGAAATATCTCTGATTATCCTTTACGACTCTGCCCGCTCTAAATGGTATTATATAACTACGCTTCTACATTTGGTAACATTCTTCTAATTCCTAAATCCTACAATTGACAAGAGATAAAAACCAAGGGATAGTGAACGGGAAGTTCAGAGAAGAGTTTTCTAGTTTGTGTGCGTAGGAGTGAATTTTGACTTTGTGTTTGTAACTTTGAGGCAGAGTTGTATCTATTTGGAGTTGTTATGTAGTTTTAGCATTACACAACAGAATGCATGCATAATGCATAATGCACTACACGCCATAATGCATGTAGTTATGTAGTTTTAGCATTACACACCAAAAAAGCAGGCTTCTTTGTATTATTGCCACATTCTTATTTTATAATATTCTTGCAGGGTTTTTTTTTAATTTAATGGATGCAGAGTGTTACTAATTAAGGCAGGCCTGGGCCAAATTGGGCCCTCCCTCCAGGTGTTTTGGACTCCAACTCCCACAATTCCTAACAGCCTCAGGCCCTTTCCTTTTCCCTTTCCTTTTCCGCTTAAGCGGCTGAAGGGAAAAGGAATTGTGGGAGTTGAAATCCAAAATACCTGGAGGGAGGGCTGAAGTCCGCCCATGTCTGATGTACAAGGACGCTAACATTTTATGTTGAACTTCATTGTGTTAGTTTTGGCCAGTCTTCTCTCTCATCTGTGAAGATCATTTTGAATTCTGCTTCTGTCTGTGTCTTTGAGGTGGGAAGTTTAGTTAATCTTTTATTATTATTTTGATTATTGTTTCTCAATTGGACAGTTTGGGGGGGACTAGTTTAAATTGATATATATAGTGATGTAAAGCACAGAGGGAGACATTATTGCCTTTATGAATTGCATGATAATATTTACTGCTGATTTTTTTTTTTTAAAAAAACCAACCAGGGGTCTGATGGCCATCATTCAAGAGTGCTTTAGCTGTGCATTCCTGCCTCGCAGAAGTGAGCTTTGGGCTACGAATCATGCTAATACTTCCGATCAGAGATCTCTCCCAGCCTCTGTCTCTAATTCATGAATCCATACAAGATACTGACTGCCTCTGGACCCACTGAAGGACCTTGGAGCCTTGTGGGCCACCAAGCACAGGGCAAGAGACCTAAAGTGCTGCCCGTGGACTGCACAACTCTCCAGAGAAGCCGCTGCCTCATGCACAGCATTGAGGAAGAGGCGGAGGAGGCCTGGACTCCAAAGGAAGGAGCCAGCCTTTCCAGCTGCAAGGGAATCCTGACATTTACATGACAATAAGGATTTATCAGCAGCCTGGAAGGATTAACAAGGCAATAAAGGGGACAAGAACCAGAAGGGCCTCAGAAGGGTCTGTTGAGTGCAGGAGACAAGGCCAAGGTGCCTGGAAGGGCCTTTATCTTAGGCCACTCAACACCCGGCTGGCCGCCAGCCACTGGGGTCTGTCGCTCAAACGAAGGCAGAGGAGGCCCCATCACATCAACAGGCCGCTTTCAGGAAGGAAGCAGGCAAGGGCCTCAGCTTCCAGTCCAGGGCATCTCACCTGGGCAGCAAAATAGGGTCTGTCTCCAAAGTGGCAGGGGTTCCTCTTTTGACAGGAGGCTCTCCAGGAACAGAGAAAATTGTTGATTTGCAAATGAAAAGACCTAAGGTCTACATGGCCTTAAAAGGCCTGAACACGACCCCGAATGTATTGCAGAAGCTTTCATGGACAGACTCACTGGGGTGTTGTATGGTTTCTGGCTGTATGGCCATGTTCTAGCAGCATTTTCTCCTGAAGTTTTGCCAGAGGATCTGAAGATACCAACCACAGATGCAGGTGAAACGTCAGGAGAAAATGCTGCCAGAACATGGTCACAAAGCCTGGAAACTACACAACACTCCAATGACCTGAATGTCAGATGTTGGCACCTGCTGAGTCTTTTCTGGGGCAAAAAGTAGAATAGAAACCAAGTTAAGAATAATGTAATTTTTTGAAGGTGGGAGGACTGTTCTGCTCCAACTCCACACATCTTCTAGTATCGCAGAGGAGGGAATAAGAGCACTTCTCTGGTGGCAAAAAACATCCTACCAATTTCAGGCTTTCTGTCCTCATTCAGAAAGTTTAGGATTTAACATACACTCAAATGACATTGGTTCTAAACCGCCTCGAGTCGCCTCCGGCCTGAGAGGGGTGGTATACAAGCATAGTAGAAACGTAGTAGAAACATATACTAGAAAAAATTAAAAAGAACCTTAAAACCTGGCTCTTCCACTGTGCCTTTGGCAAGTAGGTGCACAACACGATTCTATTGCTCCCTTCAACACTTCTGTCACTGGAGTACATACCCCCAAATGGGAAGTTTAGTTTCACAACCCTGTGTTTCTTTATGAGCTCCCTGCAAATAACTTGCTCCTATTTTTATCTCATTAGAATTTAAACATTTTATCCTGTACATGTGGCCTGCCCATTGTTTACTGTGACTGTGTTTTTTCTTTATTGTAATGTTACTTTTTTTCTCTTTTCATGTAATTTTGATGATGTTGTGTCAGCTCCACTGGCTGCCGATCCAATTCTGAGCACAATTCAAAGTGTTGGTTTTGACCTACAAAACCCTATACGGTTCCGGCCCAGCGTATCTGTCCGAACGGATCTCCCTCTACGTCCCACCTCGGAGCCTAAGATCTTCTGGGGAGGCCCTGCTCTCGACCCCGCCTCTATCACAAGTGAGGCTGGCGGGGACGAGGAGCAGGGCCTTCTCGGTAGTGGCCCCTCACCTGTGGAACTCACTCCCCGGGGAGATTAGATCAGCGACTTCCCTTTTGTCATTCAGAAAAAAATTGAAGACCTGGATGTGGGACCAGGCTTTTGGACATTCTGGCAGCTAAAGGAAAGACCTTGATGATGGGCAGGAATTGACGGAACGGAATGGATTTATGGAACTCTGAACACTGAGCATGAGATTGTTTACTATTGTGTTATGTACTGATGTTTTTAACCTGTTAACTGTTTGATTGCTTTTATGTATGTATGTATTTTTGACACAGGCATCGAATTGTGCCTTCCTTTGTAAGCCGCCCTGAGTCCCCCCTTGGGGGTGAGAAGGGCGGGGTATAAGTAACTGAAATAATAATAATAATAATAATAATAATGCTTGTTGTTTATGTTTTGGTTTTATTTTGATGTAATATGTTGTTCAGGCTTGACCCCATATAAGCCGCTCCGAGTACCCATCAGGGAGATGGTGGCAGGGTATAAATAAAGATTATTATTATTATTATTATTATTATTATTATTATTATTATTATATTATAGTAAGTAAGTAAATAAATAAATAATTCTATAAAGCCCTGTTGAACCCCTGGCTCTGGAGGAGAGGCCATTTTCTTTTGTTTCCCCTCCTTCCTGGTCTATCCTGATTTATAAAGCAGCTTTCAAAATAAACTCCATCAGGGCAGGGATGCAAAAGCCAAAGGGCCACAATGATCTGGGTTCACTAAGGGATTGGTTGCCTTTGCATGACATGTGTAGAGCTCACCTTCAGAGGCTTTCCAGGCCTTCCAGAGGTCTTCGACGCTGATGAGCTTGTCCTCCCCATGGAAAGTACTGTGTTTAACGGTTGGGTCGTGATAATTCAAGTCTTCCCGCAGGAACTACAGAGGGAAAAGACACGAAGAGTCTGTCAGGTCCAGAGACTCCAAAGGCGGTGTTAAAGGGAGACCCAGAAATGCTGGACTAAGGTACACAGAATTCTGGAAGAAACAGCGAAGGTTATATTCACAAGGAAACCAGAGTATTGGGTTGCTGTGAGTATTATTTGTTGGGAATGGTGGACAATCGACTAGGAAGGAAACTTGGAAGGTTACTACAGTATATGGTAGCTGTAGCAAGAATCATCTATGCACAGGGAAGGAAGGAATCAGTTATCCCAATGCAAGAAAATTGTCTGACAGAGATCTGCAAAGCATAGAGATATATTTCCTTGCCCAGCCTTATCCTGCCTTGACCTCATGGCTTTGTCAAGAAAACAGAATTGAGAGAGAGAATCACAGAAACACTTCCAATACTGAGAATTTCTGTTCCAAAGTGGAGAAATCAAGGATCAACATGATGGATCTAGTAGAAGGGTGGAGGATGCCAAATTAGGACATTTTCTGAAGGAAAGGTGATATAAAGAGGCCAAGGAGAGGAAATCCACCCCTTGTGCAATTATTTGATGCTGGGCGGCTAATAATAAATGGACACATCGTCTCCCAAAGCTGCAGCTAAAACCGGACAAATCTGCTGCATCTCCTCTTTCTCCCCAAGTTCTTTACACCTGCCGATTGAAAGGCTACTTAGACTAGCAGATGTACACACACATTTACACATGCACGCACACACACACACATAGATGGCTGCAAACTCACAGGAACAAGGGAAACGAGCCTCAGATCCAGCTCAATCAAGTGATAAAACTGGGATAATAAAATAGTAGTAGTAGTAGTAGTAGTAGTAGTAGTAGTAGTAATAATAATAATAATAATACCCTAAACACAACCACAGCCAGATTAGTGCTCTCAAATGTCCACCACAAGGGCCTCAAACCCACTGCCTTTGAGCCCTGGAGACCAAACCTGAGCAAGGTTAAAGTTAACAAGAGGTGCAATTACAGTGTAGAATTAATGCATGTGTAGAATTTAATGTGACACTATTTGAGCTGCCATGGCACAAGGCTATAGAACCTTTGGAGCTGTAGTGTCATGAGGCCCTGGCACTCTTTTGCAAAGAAGGGTAAAGAACTTACGATACTACAAATCCTGTGATTCTATACCACTGACTCACAGTAGTTGAAACTGCATTAATCCCACAGTGTAGATGAACCCAACGGAACACAGTGAGAACTGTTTGGCAGAGGCTGGTGTGTTATGGTGACAATTTTTATGCTTATATTTTGTTTGTTAATCTTGTGGTTATGTTGTTTTTACTCTGTATGTTTTGTGATGTTACTTGGGAACCGCTCTGAGTCCCCTCGGGGAGATGGAGCGGTATATAAATAAAGTTTTTTTAAATTATTATTATTATTACTACTACTACTACTACTATTATTATTATTATTGCCATCTTTCCGGAGAACGTGGATTGTGTCTTCCTGAATGGGTTGGATAGAATGGCTTTGGAGGTATCTTTCAGTTCTAGAATCCTATCTATCTCATTTATTTGATCTATCAACATCCCCTTTTCTAGAGGTCTTAAAACAGAAGCTGGATGGCTGTTTGTCAGGAGGACTTGTATTGTGTATTCCTGTATGGCAGATGGGGGTTGGACTGAACATCCTCTGGGGTTCGTTCGTTCTTTCTTTCTTTCTTTCTTTCTTTCTTTCTTTCTTTCTTTCTTTCTGTCTTTCTTTCTGTCTTTCTTTCTGTCTTTCTTTCTGTCTTTCTTTCTGTCTTTCTGTCTGTCTTTCTGTCTGTCTTTCTGTCTGTCTTTCTGTCTGTCTTTCTGTCTGTCTGTCTGTCTGTCTGTCTGTCTGTCTATCTGTCTATCTATCTATCTGTCTATCTATCTATCTATCTATCTATCTATCTATCTATCTATCTATCTATCTATCTATCTATCTCCTGGAGGTCTTAAACAGAGGCTAGGTTGTGTCTTCCTGCCTGGCAGAATGGGTTGGACTGGATGGCCTTTAGAGGTCCCTTCCAACTCTGATATTTTATGACTGTATGGGAACCAGTACAGTCATAAAATATGGAGCACCCCCAGCTGCACCAATGGAAAAAGCAACTGGGGCAGAGTGGGGGGCTCAAAAGTGAAAACACACCTGACTACAGATGTGGGGGTGCAGTCTGAATGCTAGGAAGTGTCCCGTGGACCCTTTTCCTGCAATGCCCCCTGCAGATCCCTTCCCCAGGGCAGGTCCAGTGGGGCTTTGAAGCCGCAAGGCCTGAGAAAGAGGGATTAAGGAAATCCGCTGCAGCCCTGTGACATTCTCCGGGAGCCAAGTGCACGGCGGAGGAAAAGGAACAGAAGGGTTTGGTGGGGAGGAGGGGGCTCTTTGTGGGATGCTCCAGAGGAGATGGAAGCAAAAGACACAGAGGGGCAGGAATGCAAAAAGGACACACTTTTTCTCTTCTGTGCCCCCCCCCCTTTTTTTTTTGCAGGCTGTGACCTCCATGGGCAGCAGGAGGGCAATGTGATCCATCCGGAGTGGACCAAGAGAGAGGCTCTCCAGCCGGCCGGCCAGCTATGATCCCCCCCCTCCTCTCCGGCCAGGGAACCAGCTGTTGCCGGGTAAATTTAGCTCAGGAAGGAAAAGTGATCTCCTGGCAGGGCCCCATCCGCATGGAAGCCGGCCTCCAAGGTCCCTCCAAAGAGGACGCTCTCGGCCAGGTCCACAGTGAACTGCCAGAGGGCAGACTAGCCGCCAGAAGAAGGTCAGACACACCGTGACTCTTTTCACACTTTAAACTTTCATAAATTTACAGTTGGAAGAGACCACAAAGGCCATCCAGTCCAACTCCCCTTTTTCTGCCAGGCAGGAAATAGAATTCAAGCCCTCTGGGTTGTTGTGAGTTTCCCAGGCTGTATGGCATTGTTTCAGAAGCATTCTCTCTTGACATTTCGCCTGCATCTATGGCAGGCATCTTCAGAGGTTGCGCCTGCCACAGATGCAGATGAAACGTCAGGAGAAAATGCTTCTGGAACATGTCCATACAGCCTGGAAAACTCCCAACAGCACAGTGATTCTGGCCATGAAAGACTTTGACAATACATCATCCAGACTCTGCTTGAAAATCTCTAGAAAAGGGACAA